CGGGGGGAAGGGAGCTGCTGTGGGAACCCGCTGACGCGTGGGCCCCTCCGGTGCCGACAGGCAGACTGTGTGTCCAGCAGGGGGGTCTCCTCCATTTTCTTTCTGAGCCCCCCCACCCCCAACACACGATAAAAGCTCCAGGGCCCAGCGTTTCTCGAGAGCGCTGAGAACGTGCCGCGGCGAAGCAAAACCAGCCACGGCGAGCCGCTCCGACGTCACGGCACTCCACACGTGGGTTTGTGGCACGGGCTGGGGCCTGGGGCCCTTCCCGAGTGGAGATGCGGGTCTGAACCAGGACCTCAGTCATTTTGTGTGGAGAGTGTATCTCCCCGCCCACACACACCCACACACACACACACACACCCACACACACACAGGGGGTATAGTTCTGTTCCGGCCCCCTCAAGCCCAACCCAGTCCCAAGCCCCGCCTAGGGTTTGTGGCACGGGCTGGGGCCTGGGGCCCTTCCCGAGTGGAGATGCGGGTCTGAACCAGGACCTCAGTCATTTTGTGTGGAGAGTGTATCTCCCCGCCCACACACACCCACACACACACACACACACCCACACACACACAGGGGGTATAGTTCTGTTCCGGCCCCCTCAAGCCCAACCCAGTCCCAAGCCCCGCCTAGCAAGGTTGAGTTGTTTTCTGACCCGACTCCAACCCGGCCCTGCCAAACCTGAGTCAGCGCACCTGCCTGTCCCCCGCGGCGCCCCGTGCTGCTGCGCCCCGCTGCTCCAATTGTGTGTCTTGTGCAGCAAGAGGGTCTGTGAGCAGGAGGTACAGCCGCAGTAGCCGGCCCGGCAGGCAGCTGCTGTGCTAACTCCATGGGCAGGAGAGGGTCATCAGAGGCAACCCGGCGCCGAGGGGGTCGTGCTGTTTTGTCAGGCCCCGACGGGTACTGGGTTCTCTCAAGGTGTGCGCGTACTTAGTCGTGTAGTGGAGGACAAGCTGCTAAGCCACGGGTGCGGTTTAGATTAGGGATGTGATAGTGGACCCGATTAACCGATAAACAAAAGCTTATCGGTTAATGCTGTAGAGGACACGCATTCCCCCCCTTCCGCCAGTAAATTTTTGAGCAGGCTGGCCAGCAGCCCAGTTCACTCCTGGCTGGCACCGGACCCAGGACCTACCCCCGCTGCGGCTCTGCATTTAAAGCAGTGTTTCTTAAACGTTTTAAGACCAAGGAACACCAAAAAATAATTTTTTTTATGAGGAACACCAAGCGTTTTTTGTTGAGCAGCACACACACACACACACAAAAACGGTCTGGGGAGGGGAAGGGTTGGGAAATTATTGAGAAAAAAAAAGGGTCGGGGGAAAGTTACTGAGGAAAAAAAGGTTGCCTGCCGCTTTAAGGCGGCCATTTTGAATTCTGTTGTTCTCCGCAGCACACCGATTTAAAGTGTATTAGGAGCCGGGCGAGCAGGCAGCCTGGGAGAGTTGTGGCTCACGCCGGGTCTGGGAGCTCAGCACACCACCTCCTCCTGCACAGGGGCTACTGCCACCCCACACTGCTGCCTCGGTTTCAGAGGCAGCAACGTGGAGTAGCAGGGGGCTCCTCGGGAGTGGAGCGGGAGTGCACTGGCTACCGGCCCCACCCTGGGGACTATCAAATAAGTCGAGTAACCGATAAGAATTCACGAAGTGAAACGACTATTCAGTGAACCGAGATTTAACATCCCTAGTGCAGAGCCCCTCACAGTGGTGCCCGCGGTGGGTGGCAGATCGACAGGATGTACCCGCCCAGGGTGTTTCTCCTTCCTTCCCCCATTGGTGCGTCACGATACAGGTTGAACCTCTCTACTCCGGCGACACCCGTGGTCCGGCATGATTCCGCTGACCCTGTGGGTCCGGAACGGGGCAGAGCCGCGAGGTGTTAACTGTGGCTACCCACATGCAGCAGCCCTGGGTTTATTCACAGCCCCTCTCCCCTGCCAGGAACAAGAGGTTGGGAAGTTTGGTGGCTTCAGCTTCACCCCTCCGTTCCCTCAGGAAGAGAGTTTCCGGCCCATTCCCCGCTCCGGAGACCATTGTATCTCCTGGGGGTGTCACTCTCCTGTCAGGTCTTCAGGTGAGCCCCAAGCCCTACCCATACCATAGCCATAACCACTAGGCTCTGCCTGCCCCGTCTCTGCTCTGTCCTCACCTTCCTCCCCCTTCTCTGCCCAGCATGGAGGGGACCCCGGAGCACCACGCGAAGATCCTTGAGGCGCTCATCGTGGCCGGAGGCGTGGCCGAGACGCAAGCTGCACTCTCCTGTCAGGTCTTCAGGTGAGCCCCAAGCCCTACCCATACCATAGCCATAACCACTAGGCTCTGCCTGCCCCGTCTCTGCTCTGTCCTCACCTTCCTCCCCCTTCTCTGCCCAGCATGGAGGGGACCCCGGAGCACCACGCGAAGATCCTTGAGGCGCTCATCGTGGCCGGAGGCGTGGCCGAGACGCAAGCTGCACCCGGTTTGCATGGCAGTGGGGCTGTGGCTCGCGGAAGCCGCTGAGGAACGAAGGGCCCATCCGCGGCGCCTGGTTTCCTCCTCCTTGTTGCTCTTGGGGAGGCAGGACTGTCGGAGCCCGGGGCAGATTCATTCTGGTCCTTGCCTGTCGCCGGCGCGGATGGCGACGGTGCCCCGTGCTCAGGAGCGACCTTCCTAGAATTGACCAAAGTGCCTCCCCGAGGCTGGGACTGAACCAGTTTCCCCTTAACCCTGGCAGCACGGCGGGGCCTGGCGCGGGCAGCTGGGGTATTTGTACCTGCTCTGGAGGAGGGCGGGGGAAGTTGTTGGCATGCCACTGTGTTTCCCAGCAGACTGTGGGGTCACTTTCTGGGCTGTTGATGGAGGGGGACTCTTCTGATCCGATGTGCAGAGATGAGCGAGGCGACCTTGAGGCAAGGCCCAAAGACGCTGGCCACCGCGGTACAACCTGCCTTTACCGCTGAGCCGTTTAGGGGACAGGTGTGCTATCCCTTGCCCCAAAGGAAACTCAGGGAGCGCTGGAGATGGAGTTGAGCCGATAGAGCCTGCTGGGGTGCGGTGCTAGAGGAATAGAGTCGACTTTGCGAACGTTTGTCCTCTTCTCGGGAGAGCAGCCAGTTCCGAAGGGGGAGCTGGGGTCCCCATTGTCCCTTTAGAAAGCCAGACGTGAGTTTCCGACACTCCTTAATGTTAAGCAGGTCTCAGTGGCACGGCAGGGTTTGTTTTGCAGGTGCTCGCGTACAGCCCGCTAGAAATTCTGTGCCAGCATCGCTTCGTATTTATCTTATGGAGGAATCCATGAAGCGTACGGCGCTACACCTGAAAGTGTGCCCTCTGCTCACCGTGCAGCTGACTTTTCTGCTCAGTTCAGTACCTGGCCTGCTGTCGACTTTTTGTATTGAAAGCTCAGAACGGAGCAGGTTTTGCCTTTTGGTGGGATGGAACGAAACTGTCTACTCTGACGCCTCTTGTCAGTGTTGTTGCTTCGTCTGTAGCTCATTCTGACAGCCCCAGAAACATCTTCAGAGAATGTGATGTGTTTGTACATTACAGATTTTTAAAAAATGAATAACGGTGGAGTAAAGTGGCAGTTTTGCCTTGGGCTAGGTTCATTAGAGAATCAAAACCATCCTCATGAAAATTACGGGCTGATGAGGAGTTGGATATATGGAGAAAACGATTACAAAAATTGTAGATACAAACTAGCTTCCCCACAGCTTGAGTTCTAGCGCTGTTTCCTTTGTTAACCAGCCCCCCAAACCTGTTGGGCTCTGTACACCACACAGCATCATCTAGAGGTTGAATAACATATTGCCAGTAAACTTAATCTTACAACCCTGGAGACTATTAGTGCCGCAGTCTCTTTCCATTAGGTAGACTCATGAGTGCAGGCAAAACACTTTGCCAATGAGCTCTGAGTATAAACCAGGGATGTGGGGGACACATGGTTGTGAGCAGAGCTGGTTGATTGGTAGAAAAGAGACCGGTGAATGGATCCTCAGGAATTACCATGGAGAGTTTGTTTGGTTGCGTTTGTGTGAGTTGTGTTGTTACATTCACGCTGGAATTTAGGTTACCTCTGACTTACTAAAATAGTCCTGGAGCCTAAAACTTCTCCGCGAGATTATCATCTATAATTTGATCTACTGTGAAAATGTTTGAGATCTGCCTTCCATTATCTTCTGGGCTTGGGGTTGGTGGTTATTCAAGTTTGATCCAATCAGAGAGCAGAATCTGTGCCTGGTGGTTTGGGTGACCAATCGCGCCCCAGGAGCACTGGCGAGGCTCGGAACAATTCACGGGCATGAAGGCCAGATGGGACCCTCTAGGCCGACCTCCTGCCTGTCACAGATCGCGAGCCACTGGCTGAGTCACTGATGTCCTCCAGCCACGGTGTGGAGACTTCACGTGGCCATTGACACCAGTTTAAAACTGCAGATGACCTCAGGAGCCATCACGCCCAAGTCCCCTGCCCTGCCCAAAACAGGACAAACTCCAGCTCAATCGTCCCAGCCAGGGCTTGGCCAAGCTGGGACTTAAACACCCTTAGGGATGGAGATTCCACCCCCTCCCTAGGGATCCCAGCCCAGCGCTTCCCCACCCGCCTAGGGAAACCGTGTTTCCTAAGATCACACCTAGACCTCTCCCACTGCAACTTGAGCCCATTGCGCCTCGATCTGCCATCGGCCCCCACTGAGAACAGCCTCTCTCCATCCTCTCTGGAACCCCCTTCAGAAAGCTGAAGGATGCTACCAAATCCCCCCTCGCTCTTCTCTTCTGCAGACTCAATAAACCCAACTCCCTCAGCCTCTCCTCCTTTGTTGCCCTCCGTTGGCTGTCGGTGGCCCATGTGGAATTGATCGGCAGCATCCGTCTCTTCCCTTCGGTGGGTGTGCGCCTTGCAGGGGGGCACGTGGACTGTCCCACCCCCTCCACTACCGGCCCCTTTTTCGTCAGGGGGGAGAGCCCCGCGACTGGCTGAGCCTGGGATCCGGACCTCTCTCTTCCCACCTGGGAGAGGCGCATGAGTCACAAGCCCCTCTCTCGGGATCCGAAGTGGCTAGACTGAAAATGCTGGGCACTGTGGACCTGCTCTGCCCTCAGCAGGTTGGAGGCCCCCAATTTATAGCCCTGACCCCTGCCTGTAGGAAGAGCAAGGGACGCAGACGCTTGCTTAGCTGGCGCTAATGCAAACCATCTGCGCACTGACGGGTCTGACGAGGCTGCGCGGCTTCCAGGGGCTACCTCTTTGACTGTGCCTGGAAACGGCTCTGTCTCAGCCAGCTGGATGGCTCAGGAATCGCTTTCCGGAGCCGCCCCCTTCGTTTTCTGCGGAGACCTGGGAGTCCTTCCTCCCCCGGTGTGCGGGGCCAGGGGCTACCTCTTTGACTGTGCCTGGAAACGGCTCTGTCTCAGCCAGCTGGATGGCTCAGGAATCGCTTTCCGGAGCCGCCCCCTTCGTTTTCTGCGGAGACCTGGGAGTCCTTCCTCCCCCGGTGTGCGGGAAAGCGCCACCCTCCGTGGAGCTGCTGGCCTGGGGCATCTCCGCGGGACCCCTCCGATGTCACCCCGGGCCCGTGGCTCGGCCCCCCGGT